TTTTTAGAATTTTTGTCAAACCACTTCAAGACTGGGAATTCATGACTTCCTTCTCTGAGTCTCATACAAGAAAGCCCACATCTCCGTTAATGGTGTCTCCCTTGCAGTTTTCTTGATCATGGTGGATGATTTCTTGGAAGGTTCAATTGGGTTTGACAGTGGTTGTTGAATTTGGGTTCAATTGGGTTGTGGTTCCATTGGGTTTGAATTGGTGGTGGTTGATTCGAGTGACTGGGTTTGAATTGATGGTGGTTGATTCGAGTGACTGAGTTTGAATTTATGGTGGTTGGTTCGAGTGACTGGGTTTGACGATGGTCTGTGGTGATTCTGGTGGTTTGGCTGGGTCTGTGGTGGTTATAGTTCTAGGTGAAGAAGAAGAAGCTGGTTATTGTCGGACTCGCGTTCTCTGTTTAGCGACATCGCTATTTTGCGAACCGATTTTGAGGCTCACTAAATTGGAAGAGCTAGTGAGGCTTTTTGTTTACTGTTGGGCTCTACAATCCCATTTAAATTAGTCCCCTTTCAAACCAAACATGGGTTTCAGGTACAATATAGGACAGTCCTATCTAGTGAGCCCTACCAAACATGATAGAGTCAAGTTTAAGAGAGGGCTTCTCTTGAATCACTTGAAGGTGACCTAACCCAAACCAAAATCAACTCACGAGCACCACGTGCCGCATCCTCATTGATCTCCAAAAGTTCAGTCTTCCAGATTTAGCCTCACCACCAAATTAGCCTCAATACCTCACTTGGTTTCCACCCCCTGCAATCCTGAAAGCTCTCCCCAAACAGTACCAACAAGACTCAGCTGAGGCTCTGATTCACAGAAGCTCAAAGAAGCTCTCAAAATGACAGAGGCAGTGATAAGAAACAAGCCAGGGATGGCGAGCGTCAAGGACATGCCGGTTCTCCAGGACGGTCCGCCGCCGGGTGGGTTCGCTCCGGTCCGATACGCTCGTCGGATCCCCAACAAGGGTCCCAGCGCAGTGGCTATTTTCTTGGCTGCCTTTGGTACCTTCTCTTGGGGCATGTACGAGGTCGGCAAGGGCAACAAGATCCGAAGGTCAGAGCTTATTTATTTGATATTTGGTTGTATGGGTTTTTATTGTTTTGTGAATTGAGGGTTGAAAATTTGATGGGTCCTGTGAGTGGGTGAGTAGGGGAGTGAGATGTAGTGATCTTTGTTAGGGTTCTCATGGTATTTCTTTGAAGTGAGCTACAGAAATGCAGATTATCTACAATTGTTACCAAGTTCGTGTATTTTTAATAAATTAATATAATTTTCATATTTATATTATAATTTCTGGGGCTATAATTCTTGTAAAAAATTTTATGATCTTTGTTATGAATTTTTGGATTTTATAAAATTAAAAAAAAGGTTCATTAGTTCTTGCAAACTATTACTTTCTGCATTGTTTAGAAAAAAAACATATGAGTTAATGAATGATATGCGGGATGCTCATATTGTTAATTGAAAAGAGCATTGTTAATGATGGGGCAAAGGAAAGAACTCAGGTATAGATAAGCAGATGCTTGGAGAGCTTGGGTTTTTATGCCCAATTATTATGGTAAAGTTGGATACTTGCTAACAATAGATGTGAAGACATTCATATTTAGTGAAGGGCTCAGTTTGCAGCCTGTTTTACATAGGCCAGTGCTCCATATCATATCAAATAGTTCAAATCTCATATTTGCCATGGTTTTCTTAGCATGCTTTATTTTATCCAGATGCCACGCCACGTAGTAAAGTATGCACTCTATTAGTAGAGTCAGGGGCACATGGGTAATGGCTGGATATGCTCCTTCTGCATCTTCCTCTCCCTCTCCTCGACTGCACATATATTTGTGACGTCTGCTCCTTTTCCTCCTCCCTCATCCTTTCACCCAACACTCACCAGATTGGTGCCATAACAAGCATCCCACCTCCTGTGACTATCCTTTCCCCAATCTACACATATTGGTGCAACGCTGACCACTGTGCTAACTAAGCGCAATCGTAACACAGATTGATCCCATGTCATATGAACCCCAAGGGAATAAACTTGGAGGCCTTGTTGAAAATGTCTGCATGACAAGTGTTTGAATAGAGATGAAGAATAGGAGTTGGAGTTTTTCCCTTGTTTCTTTGAGAGAGGGAGATTTTCATGTGGTGGGTAGTATAAAATTAGTTTTACTTTTTCCTTAACAAAGGCTAATCCTAATATTAAGGTTTCAGAGAATGATGGATATGGAAGGAAAACATGGATTTTAAATGATAAAAGAAGGGGAGATGATGGTTTTCCCTCCTCTTGTTTAGTGCTAAAGAATGAGATGGAAGGCGGTCGAAAGTTCAAAGCCTTTTTTCTTTTTACTTCTTATTGACCCAAGAACCAAACTACTATGAAAGATTAGTTTCAAGGTCATTGAGTTTGTGCTATACTATGCAGTTCAGTCTTGGTTTTATTTTTTAACCCGAATAAGGATGTTTTGTTTTTATATTTCAAAACTGAGCCAACTTGGCCTGAGTTCCATACCAGATACACTACTTGCATTTCCCTGAAATTGCTTAGTGGCTGATGCCTTAAGTAATCCAGGTGGAAATCGTTATGCCCTCATTTCGTCTTGTTGCTTACTTTGTGTTCCATGCAACCATTTCGTTTGAGGATTCAGTTTGAGCTTTGGAGCCAAAGGGCATGTGTTCTGGGTTAGTTCTTCCACCCGCTTTCCTTGCCAAATAGCTTCCGCAGCATCTATAACCTTGCTTATTGGAAGCTTCCCTCAAAGTCAAACCTTTGGCTAGGTTATTTCTCTAGGTTAGGACATGTGATCTATTTTTGAAGAAGGAAACCTGAAACTTTCTCCACGAGTAATGTTTAGAGCTAGTATAAAGCACATTATTTGTCTCTTCCTTCACTGGTCAAATTGGGTGCTGTTATAGGGTAACAGTGAGAAAGTAAGCTGAGGATATGTGCCTCGTATGATTTATTATTACCGTGGGGGTCATGAGATGGTGATCATGGTTCTTCGGGATGATCACGATAGAATGAGCTTCTATGTCATCTTGATTGGTAAAAACATTTGACTGACTTTGTAGTAATAAAGGGGCAGGAGCTCTGTATACTCAAAAGATCGTATGATTATCCTTCGTGACTATTTGGACAGTTGTAGTTACTAACTTACTGCTTTATGTTTATTTGAACATGTTTTCTTACATGCCTTTGACTTCGATTTTTGAGTGGGAATGGGATTGGGTAGACAGTAGAAGCAAATATTAGCGAGATTTCCTGCAATTTCATTTGATTTTTGCTTGGTTTTTGCCGGTGCATGTGAAAATGTAATTAATTATTTGGGTAAGGGGACACTACTATTTGTTCTCATTGAGAATTTTCTTTATATGTTATATTATTTGCTTAAAAAATTTGCTTTATGTAGGGCCATTAAGGCTGAAAAGTATGCTGCTCGCAGAGCAATACTCCCTGTGCTTCAAGCTGAAGAAGATGAAAGGTAAAAAGATTATACTGTTGGTTGCCCCCTTTCATTCATATGTCTCATGCCTGTAATATTCATCTCGCTGAATTCGAAGTAAAAATGTACTGCTTCTTTAGATTTGTCAAAGAGTGGAAAAAGTACCTTGATTATGAGGCTGAAGTTATGAAGGACGTGCCTAATTGGAAAGTTGGTGCGAGTGTCTACAACTCTGGGAAATGGATGCCCCCAGCAACTGGTGAGTTGCGCCCCGAAGTTTGGTGATACTTTTCAACTGCAGTTATGTCTGTAGTTCGCTCTATTTGGTTTGTTCACTTATGCATGTTGTCTTTGGTGCAATGTCATAGCCCTGTTATTGTGAAATAAAATTGCTGCAGAAAACCTCTTTTACATGTTTTCTAATACTACAAACAGTAATTGACTTTTTTTTATCCCCTTAATATTATTATCTTCTTCTTCATTATCCACGATTGAGGGTTAGAAAAAAGGAAGACTGTTGTGGGATTGAGATGGATTTTTTTTATTTTTTTATTTCTATTATTAATTTTTTTTTTCTAGGGGGGAATCTTTGGAAAAAGCCACACCTATGGTACTTTGTTTGATCATATGTTACAAATTTTATAAGCATTGATTTTAGTTCAACATTTTATATAGGAGTTGTTTATGAAATTTAAACATAAAAGAAAATTTGCCAGGTAAATTGAAGATATAATCTTCTCTTTTCTTTTTTTTGGGTGAATATAATCTTCTCTTTTCGGTAAATAAAATTGAAGGTATTGTCACAAGAAATCTGCAGAGGAACTTGCAAAAGTAGCAGGCTCGCAAACATGCAAGGCTTTGGAGTCTTGGACATAAAACTATTATAACTTGTACGTGTGAAACAATAATTAAATTAAATTTTTTTTTTAAAAAAAAAAGTAAAAATCATTTGCCTTAGCCCTTGATTCAAATAATAAAAATTCCATGACATGTTTGAGATCTGCTAAACAAACACCTACATTTTATTGCAATATAATTTATTAGTGCTTAGCAAACAAAACACAATTTGATTAGTCATGCCAGCTGTATTGTTTAACCCAATTTACATTATCATCACTGAGATGGACACCAGACTCTGAGACCAACCAAAAGCACTTCCCAGTTGGAGAGCACGTAATGGTTTGTTGCTGAAGAAGAGAGTGGTAAACCAAAAGCTAACTTTGAAATGCCAATTGAAGTCCTGGACCAAGATCGTCGTCCTTCGATCTTCAGCGAATAATCAATGGCTTATCGTTGCGAGTGGAGCCGTTTATGATGTGAACCTCGTATCCGAATCGTAAAATATCATTTTTATCTTCAAGAGTTGATGATGTTGATGCTGCTGCTGCAAATCTTAATGTCAAGTTTGCCGGAACCAAGGTGACAAGGGTTTTTGATATGACCATGATATGGCAAAGGTGCTTATGGTGCTGATCTTCTCTGAATGGGAGAAAAATAAGGAGATTTTTATGGCTCCCTAAACCACCTCATTGGAAAAAATTTAGGGAGGAATTGGAAAAATTTTACTCCAACCATGCTCCCTATTGACCTCCTAAAATAGGGAGACTTCTAGAAGCTCTTAAATATGTGGTGAGAGAAAGAACTCGAAGTGGATCCCTATAATTTAATTCTGCTTTATTTTATGAGTATTCTAAACCTTTAATTAATGTCAACTTTTTTTTAAAGGTTTAGAATACTCATAAAATAAAGCAGCATTAAATTATAGGGTTAAAAATTTATAGAGAGCTCCTAAAACAGATTTTATATGTTTTTAGCTAAATTTTAACTAAAAAATAGAGAGTATGATTATAGATGCTCTAACAACCATCAATTTCATAGAGGCTTTGCTTTGCTTAATTGAATGCAACGGAGCAACAAATGTAGGGATTGGTCCTTTTTCAGGATCTTCTCTTTCACCACTCCCCCACCCCTCATTTAACTCACCAGAATCCAATACTTGTTGATTTTTCTTGATCAAGAGTTTGATTGTGTGGTAGAATTCTAGAATTCTTCAACAAGATATATATATTTCTTTTCTTTTCAAAATATTAATCTGTTCCAAAGTCATGTTTTTTTTTTTCTTGAGAAAGAGAATTCATTCATAGAACCAAAGACGTACAAAGAACGACATGATACAGTGGCCTTGTTAAAACCTTTCTAGGACAACCTCATGGAACAAACTCCAAGGGAGGAAAGAGTACCACACATGTCATGGACTAATAAGAGAATCCGATTCAAGTCACTTTGGACCATTACAATAAAAAAAACCAAATAAAAAATGAAAACTAACGCATAGACCTTCGATGAGAACCACAACTATAGACCAACACAATAGACCCACATAAGAGGACCGCAGAACATCCCAACTGTCAAAAGAAGCCTTCTATGAGCAAAATCATAGTCATTTGGCACCCACACAAACTGTAAGGCAAACCATAGCAGAAACTAGGAGAGAACACGTAGGAGGAACACATAAACAACAATACAAGGACCCTTGAGAAGCACTCCACTTCAACTTAGAACCGAACAAAGAAAACCTCCTATGACAAAGCATAGTTCTTTGGTCGGCGTAGAGTAGAGAAGAGCACCACATCCTAATAACTACCACAAGCGTCGTTGATGCTGCTGTCACTGCCGTTGAAACAGAGACAAAACATTAGCCACTAGGTATCACAACTCTCTTGAGGAGAGACACAATCCAGCGTCACCACATAAACAACAATAAAGGACCCATGAGAAGCACTCCACTTTAATTCAGAACCAGGCAAAGAAAATCTCATATGACCAAGCATAGTTCTTTGGTCAGTGCAGAGTATAGAAGAGCACCACATCCCAACAACTACCACTAGCGTCACCACTGCCGCCGCCGTTAAAATATAGGCAAAACATCAGCCACCATGTATCACAACTCTCCTAAGGAGAGACACAATCCAGCTTCACAACTATCGCCGTCATCGAGACAAAGACACCACCAGCCACCTAGATCACTGCAAAAACAATCAAACAAAACAAACAAACAAACAGGTCTAGATTATCTGGGGAGAGGAAGGGAGGAGAAGAGGGGATATAAGGAAGGGAAAAGATGGGAGAAAAAGATGGGGAGATGAGGAAGTCTACAGGAAGTCTACTCTTGAATTGCTACAGAGAAATCCAGATTTTTATTGTTAGTGCAATGTGGAACTATTTGCCTTTGATCTACCTTGTTCTCTCGAGTGCTACTAAATTCTATAATTGCACACATTATTCATTGTAGAGAATTACATGCTGAGTTGGAGTGGTCTTGGTAATTTGTGAAACCCCGTAATTTATATATATATATATATATATATATATATATATATATATATATATATATATATATATATATATATATATATATATATATATATATATATATATATATATATATATATATATATATATATATATATATATATATATATATATATATATATATATATATATATATATATATATATATATATATATATATATATATATATATATATATATATATATATATATATATATATATATATATATATATATATATATATATATATATATATATATATATATATATATATATATATATATATATATATATATATATATATATATATATATATATATATATATATATATATATATATATATATATATATATATATATATATATATATATATATATATATATATATATATATATATATATATATATATATATATATATATATATATATATATATATATATATATATATATATATATATATATATATATATATATATATATATATATATATATATATATATATATATATATATATATATATATATATATATATATATATATATATATATATATATATATATATATATATATATATATATATATATATATATATATATATATATATATATATATATATATATATATATATATATATATATATATATATATATATATATATATATATATATATATATATATATATATATATATATATATATATATATATATATATATATATATTGTGAAGTATATATATGATACACACACATATATATAAAAAGATATAT